TCATTCTTTAGTAGGGTGTTCTTTAACCTCCATGCTTTTGGCGGTTTTCCAGACGTTTTCCTGTGGTTGATTTCAAGCTTCATAGCATTGTGGTCTGAAAGTGTGCATGGTATGATCTCAATTCTTGTATACTTATGAAGGGCTGTTTTGTGACCCAGTATGTGATCTATCTTGGAAAATGTTCCATGTGCACTCGAGAAGAAAGTATATTCTGTTGCTTTGGGATGCGGAGTTCTAAATATATCTGTCAAGTCCATCTGATCCAACGTATCATTCAGGGCCCTTGTTTCTTTATTGACCATGTGTCTAGATGGTCTATCCATTGTTGTAAGTGGGGTGTTAAAGTCCCCTGCAATTACCACATTCTTATCAATAAGGTTGCTTATGTTTGGAATTAATTGGTTTATATATTTGGGGGCTCCCATATTTGGCACATAGACATTTATAATTGTTAGCTCTTCCTGATGGATAGACCCTGTAATTATTATATAATGCCCTTCTTCATCTCTTGTTACAGCCTTTAATTTAAAGTCTAGTTTGTCTGATATAAGCATGTCTACTCCAGCTTTCTTTTGACTTCCAGTAGCATGATAGATAGTTCTCCTAACCCTCACTTTCAATCTGAAGGTGTCCTTAGATGTAAAATGTATCTCTTGTATACACCAAATAGATGGGTCTTGGTTTTTTATCCATTCTGATACCCTGTGTCTTTTGGTTGGAGCATTTAGTCCATTTACATTCAGTGTTGTCTGTAGGTTTCATGCTTGTAGTGATGTCTCTGGTCCTTTGTGATCCTTGAAACGTTTCACTCACAGAATCCCTCTTAGGATCTCTTGTAGGGCTGGTTTAGTGGTGATGAATTCCTTCAGTTTTTGTTTGGGAAGACCTTTATCTCTCCTTCTATTCTGAATGACAGACTTGCTGGATAAAGGATTTTTGGCTGCATATTTTTTTTGTTCATCACCTTGAAGATTTCTTGCCATTCCTTTCTGGCCTGCCAAGTTTCAGTAGGTAGGTCTCCCACTACTCTTGTGGGTCTCCCTTTATAAGTTAGAGCCTGTTTATCCTTAGCTGCTTTCAGAATTTTCTCTTTATCCCTTTATTTTGCCAGTTTCACTATGATAGGTCATGCGGAAGATCGATTCAAGTTACGTCTGAAGGGAGTTCTCTGTGCCTCTTGGATTTCAATGCCTTTTTCCTTCCCCAGATCAGGGAAGTTCTCAGCTATGATTTGTTCAAGTACACCTTCAGCCCCTTTCTCTCTTCTTCTCCTTCTGGAATTCCTATGATTCAGATATTGTTCCATTTGATTGCATCACTTAGTTTTCTAATTCTTCCCTCATACTCCTGGATTTTTTTATCTCCCTTTTTCTCAGCTTCCTCTTTTTCCATAATTTTATCTTCTAATTCACCTATTCTCTCCTCTGCCTCTTCAGTCCATGCTATGGCCACCTCCATTTTAGTTTGCACCTCATTTATAGCATTTTTAGCTCTTCTTGACTATTTCTTAGTCCCTTGATCTCTGTAGCAATAGATTCTCTAATGTCCTCTATGCTTTTTTCAAGCCCAGCGATTAATTTTATGACTGTTATTCTAAATTCTTGTTCCTTTGTATTGCTTAAATCGTTTTTGATCAATTCGTTAGCTGTCACTACTTCCTGGAGTTTCTTTTGAGGAGAATTCTTCCGTTTCGTCATTTTGGGTAGTGCCTGCGGCGGCTCCACACTGCAGGGCGCTTCCCCAGGAGGGGTCCTCTTGACAGCTCTAAGGCAACCCTTTGTGGTTGCTGTTGTTTGAACTAGTTAGTATTCCTTCCTCCTCTGTCTCTTTCACTCCCCCCCACGTTTGGTAAGACACAGTGAGTAATTCAAGGCCTGACCTTGCCTGGCCTAACAGCTTGGATGGGGAGGTGGAAATGGTGTGATCCGAAGATTGGTGCTTCAACACCCAGGCCCTTTGCCCCATACCTGGAGTTACTGCCTTCTCATTCCTGTCATCACCCCTCCTTTTGGGACCCGATACTATCTGTTGCTGCCACTTTAGCCTGAGAGTTTTATTTCCTGCTACTTTTTTCTTTAGACTGCTTTGTTTTGTGGATCAAAAGGCTGATAGTAGGTTAAGCCAAGCTAAATTTCTGAAATAGCTATGACACTGAAGTTGAGTTAGCATTTTAGCATAGATCCTCTATGGACAAAGAATGGAAAGAAACAGACATTTTAATATATCCCTTTCTGGCTTAAACATAAATCCGAGAAACTCTAAAACTGACCCATATCTCTTGTTTTTCAGATAGACCACGTGGTGCGGGGCCATGCTGCCTTCCCTGAACTACAAGCCAAGGCCACAGCCAGGTAACTGCTGTCCCTGTTCCCTTTTGTAAGCTCCTGTGCATTCCTGCACTGAAGGCATTCAGTCCCTTTAGGCAGATGTGTGATTTTCAGTTCCTATGGGCAGTGAAGATGCCTGGCAGTGTTTGGTTATAAGATGATCCAGGACGTACATGCATTAATTTTCAAAATGATCTAAGAGAATTCAAAGAAACTAGAGATCCCCAAAGAATATGCCAGGAACCCTGGCTGAGAGACTCTAATGTAGTAGAAGGAACATGGATTTGGGGATCAGAACTTCTTGGGTTCAAGTTCAAATCCAGCTTTACTCCTTACTTGGTGTGTGACCTTGGGCAAGTTATCCAATCTCTTTAAGCCTTTCTCTTCATCTGTAAAACTGAGGATATTAACTGCTACAAAATGATTTTCAGGAAATGTTGTTAAGTGAAGAAAGCAAAGAAGTGTTTACAGTTCCCTTCTTTTTATGTAGAAGGAAGATGACTATAAGAAACTGTATGTGTACTTACTTGTGCAAGAGAAATGCAGGGAAGTTAAATCAGAAAGTGGCGAGACTGGTTACCTAGAGGTGGTGGGTAGGCGTGCAGTAGAAATATGGGGGAGTGTGAACAGGGTCATAGGTGGAAATGGTACTTCTTTGAGTATGTTTTTCGATATACCCTAATTCTTAGAACCATGGTGATGCTTCTTGTATCCCTGAAAATAGAAGGGAGGGAGGGAGGGAGCAAGGTTGGTTAGGTAGGTAGGTTAGGTAAGGTAGGTAGATAGATAGTTATGAGGATATACGTATGTGGTGAGAATAGGCAAAATAAAATACAGTTAGCAAAAACGAAACGTATTGTATTAATAATGAATAACATAATCGCACTAAGAAGGGTTTGGGAAAGAAAAGAACTAACTTAAGTAATTGGGAAAAAATGTTTTGATAGTATAATGTATGGTTAAAGATAAAATAACTGTACTTGAGTATTATAGTCTAATTCCTAAATTTGTTTTTCATAAATGTCTGGATGAGCTCTTCTGAAAATCTGTCATGTGTATACCACAACTGAGCAAATAAATAAATATATTATGGATAATGGGAGCCAGGCCTCTCTTAAATAGGGAAAGGGAAGGTTACAATGAACCCTATGGTAGTGGGTGGAAATTGGAGATATTAGGATCAAATTGTGATTTTGTATGTATGTGTGTAGGTGTAGCTATGTACAGATAGAGCTATAGCTATAGAGAGAAATAAATCCAGGATGTATGTTCATGTGTGAGTACACATACATATATTCCCTGTGTTCTCTGCTGAGATGGCCTAGAAACAATGACCCCTAGGAGCAGTTTGCATGGCTAGCACCAGATGCTGGTTTTTAAATAGTGTTCTCTACCGAAAAGTAGGTTTTAGGAACATGGCCGATTCCAAAGAGAGGGCGGGGGACATATACACATGAACGTTTTGTGATGCCAGAAAGTAAGGAACTACTCAAAGAAGAATTGTCGAAGGGCACAGGAGCCAGCACTAAGAATCTCTCAGTGGTCTTTGGGGACAATTTGATCAACTGAATTAGTAATGATAGTATAAAGTGTCTCCTTGAGGCCATACTTATTGAAGAAATAAGTGGGGAAGAAAAGGCAGATTTCCCTTTGCACTGCAAGGACCATGTACTTGAAATTAATAAATGTGGAGGAGAGGTGCCTGTGTGGCTCAGTCAGTTAAGCATCCGACCCTTAGTTTTGGCACAGGTCATGATCTCATGGATTGTGCGTTCAAGCGCCGCATCAGGCTCCGTGCTGATAGTGTGGAGTCGGCTTGGGATTCTGTCTCTTCCTCTCTTCCTCTCTCTCTGCCCCTCCCCTCCTCATTCTCTCTTTCTCCCAAAATAAATAGACTTTAAAAAATAAATGTGGAGGGAATCATGGAACTAAAAGATCATCGTTAGGCAAACAGCACTTGTTGCAAGCAAGAATCACCAATGGATGCTGAAATTAGTGAGTGAAAGTATGATGCAAAGCAGGATACATGCATAGTCCCAAAGTATCTCGCTCATTAATAGCAAAGGAAAAAGGGTAACTTCACAGTGGAGAGATCTGGCAGACAACACCTCTCTCATGGTTCATGAGTTCGAGCCCCACATCAAGCTCTGTGCTGCCAGTGTGGAGCCTGCTTGGGATTCTCTCTCTCTCCCGTTCTCTCTGTCCCTCCCCACCCTCTCAAAATAAATAAATAAACTCAAAAAAAAATAATAATAATGTACTTATGTTAATTTCTTAGGTGATGAGTATAGGAAAATCTGTGTACTATTTTTGTAACTTTTCTGTAAGTCTAAAGTTACTTCAAAATGAAATCCATTTATTATTTTTTTTAACTGCTTAAGACAGGAGTGCTGTTGGGCCTTTTTAGAAAAGTAAGGTATGCTATAATATTAACAGAAAAACCCCATGTAGCAAGTACATGGAAAATGAGAGACAGTCTAAGGTAGAGGTTAATACCATAGACTCCGGAGCCTGTTTGAATAGTGGGTAGCATATGGTGACAAGGGTCAAGCTGTTCTAAGTTTTCAGGGAATTAAAGTAGTAGTGATAGAAGTTGTCGTTATGGGTGTCATTACTTATATTAGACATTTCCACCCCACCAAGGGGCTTACATTCTAATAGGGGAGGCACCTACACAGAGCAGAATGAGATGCATACTTTACTAGAACGTAAGCTGTCTGGGGCCATCTGCGTGGCTCAGTCGGTTGAGCACCCAACTTCCGCTCAGGTTATAATCTTGTGGTTCGTGAGTTTGAGCCCCACGTCAGGCTCTCTGCTGTCAACACAGAGCCCACTTTGGATCCTTGCTCTCCCTCTCTCTCTATCTTTCTCCTGCTTGCGCACTCTTTATTTCTCTCTCAAATAATAAATAAACTTAAAAAAAAAAGCAGTCTGTTGTCAGGGTGTAGATAAGGAATGGTCCTGCAAGGGAGTTTGAGGAAAGCTTCGGAAGCTTTCCCTTCTAGCAATCCCTGGTTATGACCCTCTTACCACTGAGAGGGATCACACCATGTAACTTCATCAACTCACACTTTATTTGGCTTAGAGACCATGTAACCTAGAGCAAGGGTTCCTACCTTCAGATCATGAGCGAACCCCTTAATTTGTGTGCAGAGTTTTGTTGATTGTATTCTTATGGGTATAATTCTCTGAAGAGAGGCCATCACTTTCATCAGATTCTTGAAGGAATCCAGCATTCATAAACCACAAACCCAAAGACAAGAACACTGGATTTGGAGTTCAGAGATTTGGATTCAAACCCCAGCTCCCAACATGCATCATCATATGAATTTGTTTCCCCGTCAGAACATGGGGTAGTCACTCTGCAAGAAGCAGCCCTGGGTACCTCTGAGAATTTGTTTTGATTTTAATGAGGTAATGTATTTGGCAAGGCTTTGTAAACTCTACTGTGACAATTATGACAACAGCTCTTTCTGCCACTATTACTAATGGTTATAAAAGTGGAGGATGTTTTGGTGGTGGTGGTTCTAGGGTTAAGCAGCAGAGCAGTCATCCATAACCTGCTGACCTTCTTGCGGAAAGTGTGGTAAAGTAGCCAGAATGCTGGGCTGAGAATTGGAGGTCTGGATTCTTGTGCCATTTCTGCCATAATTGTCTCAGTGACTCAGTTTCCTCACCCATAAAACCACAATAATACTTCCTTGCTTACCTCATTTTACAGATGTTATGTGGATGAAAATAGATTGTGGAAATGCCAGTCTCTGAAGATCTTAAAGCCCAATACAAACCTAAGGGATAGGTAGATTTTGGAATGCAATATTCAAAATTTCCACAGCTCTACTCTGTGGATGAGCCTCATGTGAATAGTTTTTATAGAGAAGAAGAGAGAGAGATTTATGGATTAGTGTGCAGACTCAGAGAAACAACAGCACAGGGTGGTGCAGAAGCAGCAACTCATAGAATTCAGAACTGGAGTCAACTGGATTTAAATCCCAACTCTTTCCACATACTAGTCGACTTTACCCCGTCTTCCTACTACCTCCCTGTATTTCTCCCCTTTTAGAGCTAAGCTTCTCCAAAGCATTGCCTCCATCCTTGGTCACTATTTCCTCACTTTGTATACTCATCCCTTGCCCACTTCAATTTGAATTCTGTACCCATTGACCCCTGAAACTGTTAAGGTTAAGGTCCCTAGTGACCTCTGTTGCTGAGTCTATAGGGTGCATTCCAGTCCCCATCCTGGGGCTCTCAGCAGGATGTGGCATCAATGATCACACCTTCCTCTGCTTTATAACACTCTCTTTCCTTGGCTTTCTTTCTGGAATGTCAACTTCTTCCAGTTTTCTTCTGGCTTGTCCTTTTAGTATCCTTTTCAAGTTCAAGACTATCACATCAAAGTTCTTTACAGCTAGGGTTCTGGACCCTTTTCCTTCTCTCTTTGTCATTCTTCCATGATGCTCCCATCTATATATACTCTTGGCTTCATTACTTAAATTTTACATCCAGCTCGTATATTTAGCAGGTATTCAATAAATGTTGGTTCTCTTTCCTCTCACGTTGCTTCTGTTGTTTTGTAAAAGAAAGTGCATCTCTGTCTTACAGATCTATGAATAGAATATCCCAAGACTACAGAGGTCTTAGGACGAAATAGGCATGACTTTACTGAAGTGAATTTGGCTGTTTGGAAAGGACAGCAAATCCCTGGGAATCAGAGACTGTAGGTCTCTTTTGGTGCAGCTTGAGGCTCTCTGAAAGCAGAGTGCAGGTTACTCCTGCCTTAGAGCTTAGCATCAGCAAATCCTATTTGAAACTGCAAGAACAAGTGCTGATAAACAGATTTAGTATTTCATACTCTTGATTTGCCATAATCTTCTCAGACCCATCCCTGAAGAGTGATGTCTTGTGAGCTTAGAAATTAAGTAAACAATAACTAGATGTGCTCGTGCGTGTAATTGGCAACCAGAGTCTCTCTCTCTCTCTCTGTGAGGCCAAACTTTCACTCCTTAGACAGAGACTGCCTTACA